CTGCAGTGGTAATTACATGTGTAATACCTAGCTGTATTAGTAATTACATGTGTAGTACCTAACTGCAGTGGTAATTACATGTGTAATGCCTGTCTGTAGTAGTAAATACATGTGTATTAACTGGATGGATTAGTAAATACATGTGTTATACATGTCTGTAGTAGTAATTACATACATACCTGTCTGTAGTAGAAATTACATGTATAATACCTGTGTGTAGTAGTAATTACATGTCTAATACCTGTCTGTAGTAGTAAATACATGTGTATTAACTGGATGTATTAGTAAATACATGTGTTATACATGTCTGTAGTAGTAATTACATATGTAATACATGTATGTAGTAGAAACTACATGCGTAATACCTGTCTGTAGTATTAAATACAGGTGTATTAACTGGATGTATTAGGAAATACATGTGTTATACATGTCTGTAGTAGTAATTACATGTATAATACCTAGCTGTAGTAGTAATAACATGTGTAATGCCTGTCTGTAGTAGTAAATACATGTGTATTAACTGGATGTATTAGTAAATACATGTGTTATACATGTCTGTAGTAGTAATTACATACATACCTGTCTGTAGAAGTAATTACATGTGTAGTACCTAGCTGTAGTAGTAATAACATGTGTTAAACCTGTCTGTAGTAGGAAATACATGTGTATTACTTGTGTGTAGTAGTAATTACATGTGTAATACCTGTCTGTAGTAGTAAATACATGTGTATTACCTGGCTTTAGTAGTATATACATGTATATTGCTGACCATCACAATTTGGATACACTTTTTTTAGGATTTTGGCAGGAGACTGGTCCTTACTCAGTGCCTCTTGTTTATTATAAAATATAACAAAGATCTCTTTACAAAGAAATATTGAGAAGGTTAAATAATGATAGTATATAAGATTTGGTTTACAGAGTATATAAAGCGTGATATGCATAGTAAACAGAAAGTGGTATACAAAGTATATAAAGAATGATATATAGAGAGTGGTATACAGGGTACATAAAAAAGTGTTTTACAGAGTACACAGGGTGGAATATAATTTGTCTATATAGTACACAACGAGTGGTATACAGTATATGTAAGAAGTGGTAAACACAGCATATAGAGTGGTTTACACATTATATAGGGAGTGGTATGCACATTATATATAGAGTGGTAAGCACAGTATACATAGAGTGGTATACAGGGTATATTAGAACTTGTCTATATAGTACACAAAGAGTGGTATACAGTATATGTAAGAAGTGGTAAACACAGCATATAGAGTGGTTTACACAGTATATAAGGAGTGGTATACAGGGTATATTAGAACTTGTCTATAAAGTACACAAAGAGTGGTATACAGTATATGTAAGAAGTGGTAAACACAGCAAAATTATGTTATTATAGTTACATTGATCATTAAAATAATATATGTTTTTTGTAATAATAAAGGCAACATTAACCGCTACAAAAGGATAAAAACAAATCCTGAAAGTAACACCTTAATAATTAATGCAGTAGTTGAAGACTTTGTTACTTTACCAACATGCGGTTTTGACATTAGACCTTGGTCGTTACCTGTGGTGTTAAGGCTGTGTTTGGAGATATTTGACGATCAAATTAACCTCGTTTTATACGTAGTAACTTCACTATTTTAAAAAACGCCTGATTTCGCGTGCAATTGTGTCTATCGTTTGACAGATCTCCCTGGCTGTATTATTGATCGATTGTTTGTGCTACTTCAAAAACCTGATCGAGGTCAAAACTTTTTCCACCTATAATTGAACTTCACTTACCTGGTTTGAAGGATTTACACTTGCTTGCATAATACAAATATCGTGGGAATTTGTTATGTGAAATATCTGCATCAAAATAAAAGACCAGGAATATCAATTTTATAACTTCTTCATTATTTCCATTGTAATAGACAGGTATGATATTCAAAATATCTACAGGACAGTAAAACCTGACTCATACTACTAATTGATATATAGGGCGTTGGGTAAATAAACTGACAATGAGGTTTATACCCACACCTCCATATGACAGATTTATTATAGAGTTGGGAATGTGCTTTCTCTCCACTGTTTATCGTGTTATGGAAGTGGAAGTGTTGGCTGCAGGACTCGAAGTAGAGGAACTCAATACGGATGTGTGTACCCAGGTTAAATGTAGGTAGTATATAAGTCAGGTATATTGCTCCTGTCCATTTATAATCCTGTTTATCTTACTAAGCATACAGTGGGCCTACTTCGTATCACGGAGTACATGAAGAACAAGTGCGTAATATGACGTTCCTTGTGATAAATTAAAACAGCAAATATAACCGCAGCATGAAGAAGAATGTTTCGAATCCGTCCATTACACAATGTCGAAAATGATGTTTCAACTTTAAAAATAAATATTGTTTATAGTATTGTTTGGAAAGAGCAGATGAGAAATGAACAAGAAAAGATAGCATGAACCCAAACAAAGAACTGAAGGTAACACCAAGTGTTTCTCAAAGCTGTATGATGCAATCGGAATATTTTGTTCTTCTATTCGTTGCTTGAGACGATCTTGGAATGAGGTGAAAACGATCTGTTTCACACCCGAAAGGCAACCATTGACCTTTTGATAAGTTGTGACTACGCTTCCAAACAGAAAATTATTCAGCTTTAAACAGTCATATATTTTGTTTCAAATCAAGCTGAAAATCATAGCAACCAAAGAAAAAAGACGCTCATAATTATTTACGATTCTCAATATTGAATTTTCTTTATCTTCCGCATTATCACTATCTTGTCTACGGAAGTAAATTCTATACGTGCTTTAATGACAACAAAAGCTAGATACTTCAAATGACACGCTTAAGCTATTTCTAAAATTTACGAAGGGGTCTTACAAAGACCTGCCCTTGCGTCCTAGGTCAATCGTTCCGATACCGGACTAAAACAGCCCAAATACGATTGTGATCAAACATCGAGGACACAATCCTAAAAGAGGAAATCGCCGGAAATGGCAAGACTTTATCTCCAAAACTTTGTCAAACAGAATTATCGGATTTAAAAATACATTCCTGTACTTCCCCAATACAGTGTTATAACATTGACATATATATTAAGTGCCGGTCCTATCAAGAAGGAAGAATTTCATTCCTGTTTTTTGTTTTGTTTTAGGTTCCTTTTGATATCCTCTCCCACCTTTACCTCATAATTTTCGCTTTTTAAGAAGCGATTTTGATAAAAGTTGTCCTATGAGGTGATGATGTTGAAAAATTAAGTAAATGTTGACTTTGTGTGTATGTGTTGCTGACTGTGGTATATTTGTTCCAGTGTGTTAATGATGTAGTAGATTTTGTTCGTGCATGTTGCCATGTGTATAAGGTAGCAGTGTACAGTAGAAATGGCTTGACTCTGAAAATACAGGGCATATCTCAGATAAACATGGATAGTGAATTCAACCTGCACAACACACCTACATATATATACATATTTTTAAACTACATTTCGATTTCATTTTGTTTAGAAGACTGATTTTTTTTTTCAAAAACTGTTTTCTCCAGATTTGGCACTTGTGAAAACCATAGTTACCACAACAAAAAACACCAATATACACAAAAGAAATCATGATTTTTAAACAAAAGTTTGACTCCCGCAAGTAATTTCTTCTTTTCTTAAAACCTGTCTGATATTAAATATCGCCTGTTCGGTAACAGAAATACTCACGTTTTATCATTGGTCATTCCGGGGGATTTTTCTCAATATTTACACATGTGCTGAGTACAAAATAGACAACATGAAAAGCTAGCTTTTGTTTTATAGACACAGATTTGTAAATGCCCAAAACTGTAGTCTCAAACTAAAATTCGAATTAATATTTTGAAAAATTATGAAGCCCACATAGTCCACTTCATCATGTATAAACCAATTTAAGTGCTGACTTATTTTTTTATTTTGATAAATGTTATATTACAGGGGTTATTCATTGTATAAAAATATCACCCATGGCCATCGTACGCTACTGTACGCTGCTACCTAACTGCCTTAGGTATTGGAAGCTTTACATGTGAAACTCCTCGTTTTATATTCCTTACGTTTGTAACAACGCATTAATAGCGGTTGTGATGTGACGATGCGACATTAACAATGTGAACCATTCCTATTGGTGCATCAACAAAGTAGTCACAGTAATACATCTGTCGATCACCATTAATGCATCAACGACAACTGTTCAGTTCTGATAAACCATTACCAGTGTTCCAACAATGTCTGTGAACATGTGATCATATAAGAGAGTGAAAATAGAAATGTATTACTGTGAGTATATATACATTCACATCAGCACTATGTTCCATAAATAATACCCTTTCAATAAAACATTCAAGCTCACTCTTTTTATCTTGCTTTTACAGATGATAGTAAATCAAAGTCAGGTAACGACGGTAATGTTATTTACATATAAACATAATAACATAACACCAACTAGAACAGTTCACTGGTAAAAAACAAAAAGTAAATTGAAGTATCATTCAATAACAATTACAGTACATGTATGATACACAGTATATACATATTTGGTAATTAAATCGTTACGCGTACTTTATATTTGTTAAATATTGCAATTATAAGAACTATTTTATTGTCTGAAAAATAATTCGCGCTACGGGGAGGGGGCACACATCACTTCATGTGCAATGTTTGGACTCTGCATGGAGGAGAACAATCGAGCACGTAATGATTTACCGTTCTCAAAACATGGTCACTAACACGAAGCGCTAGAGGCCGAGTTATACAGCAATGTAAAGTAGAAGAGACAGCATCTTATCATTACAACAGTTACAAAAGAAACAATCACATCGTTAAAATGTGTATCAATACAACATGTTTAAAAATGCATTTAATTATAAATTTTATACCATTGATAATTGACATTCCCTTTATGTGTGTCAAACAAATAAAAAGGAGAATGCAATTTTGTCCTCTATCTAATATAGAATGGTCAACAAAGTAATGAAAAATATACTCACACAAAGAATAAACGTTCCAATATATTCTGCAATTATCTCTCGGGCTAATGGGTTTTGAAGTCTTGTCATTTTTTTTAAAGAAGACATGTTTATTTCACTGAAAAGCTGCCAGGCGAGGCCGCACGTCGCGCTGGTCTACGACAATCTTACTACTCTTCAGGTCAGCGCGATTTTCTTCAGAGTATATCCTTCTTTATCGCTCCGGCTGATAAACTGGGATATCGTTCGCACCCATGAGTATGCAGCTATGTCCCAACTTGACCCTGCGCATAACACCTGTCCAAAATAAGGCGTGACACGCTATTTGTACACCTGCTTAATTAATGACAATGAACACGAACTACATTACCACTTTTGTATTTTGAAGAACAACCTCACCTTATATCATCTAGCACGTGACCTTTTGCGAAAATTAACCAGCATGTGCATCAACAGTTCTCCATTTATCGGATATATATAATATATTTTCAGTGAAATGAAAGTAAAATATAGCTACCATAATAAACCAGAAAAGATAATTGATACAACAAATGTAAGTCGTTGGATGAATAATAGTGATCTCAGAATAAACCAAAATGTCACCAGGTAAAAATACCACCACCGTGGCCCAGTCATCAAGGTGTACATCACTTTCACGTAAACTTTGAGTGACAGCTTAACCAGACGAAATGCCCTCGGACATCACAGTTTACCTACAAGATTTATCGTCGATTGAAGCAGCTATGAGATAAAAACAAGACCTTTGTGTAACATTCGGACAGTTACATTGTCCGGCGGTGCGCAACAAGTACTTAATGTGATGGGTCAGTTGTACCTGGACATTGGTCATCAGAACAAATACAGATGTTGACAGCTAGAGGATGGTCGGCTAGTCTGCAACATTAGGACTTTATCATGAATATTTGCATTTGATTAAAGGGGTCAAATAATAGTGTAAATAATATGTTATGATGTGAATCATAAATACACAATTACAATTATTTTTATTAAGCTCCTTCAATTTAAATAGAATTGTTTAAAACGCTGTATAATATATATATTCGAAACGCCAACTTGAGAGTTGAAGATTCAGGTGAGACAAAACTATTAAAGGTTATGCATAGAAAATATTACACATTGAAACATCAAGCGTTTATTTGGGAACATTAGACTTAAAAATCTTCGCAATTTCGGAAATTCAGCTCTAATTAGGCAGATCCTTAATGTCAGTCAAATTATGTGAGAACTGTATCACCATAGAAAAAACATTTAGTTCTAATAGAAGGAACTGTTTTACACATCACTCTAACAAACGCGGGTTGAAGGCTTCCTACATTTGTATCTACTGACGGAATGCGTACACTTATGTTTACATTTAATTTTTCTATTTTATTTACAGTGAAATCACTGAAATAATGCAGGTATCTAATCAAATAAAATGTAGATAACATAATCACACAGGTAGTGGACCATGTATAGCGATATACCGTCAATTGATAACCATTTAGGCCTTTCTGTCTTTAACTTGAGGGGTTTATCTATATAGCTTACATTTCATTCATCTGATAACTATAATTCACCTTCATCTCTCGATATTTAAACTATCACTGGATATGTGCCAAATAAATGTGAGATCTGTAAATCACATCTCAGATTGACCTGACCTGTTCAAGTAAAGTAAACGTCATTCGTAATTTGTTCAATAACTCTGAGTGTATCTGTTAATGTGTAAACACTTGATCGGATGGCGGATTAACAGTGAAAAGTGCAGTATGTGGTTATCAATCGTTACCTTGTCCGAATTGTCCAGCACTGCCCTCATTGCTAAGTCAATACGAGAAATAAGTAGAACTACAGTCTTATCAGGATAATGATCGTGGGGGTCACGTGTCTTATACTGAATATGCATCTTGTCAAGAAACACACTGGTGATGTCGTAGTGAACACATCAGTCCTACTTGCACATCGTCAAAAGAAAACAGGCGACGTTGTAGTTGCAGCTAAATAGTGCATCTGTTCTTTAAACGCCAATTTGTCATTAAAAAAGTCATGTTTAGTGAAGATACTTTTTTTTATGGTGTTTTGCAAAAGAATGAGTTTAATGACATTTTCCGAGTTTTAAAATGAGTACATTGTACAGCAGTATATATTCGTATTCACATGGCATATACATTTTTAATTGAAAATGTCGACAATAATGAAGCTTGGACGTAATGAAATTGTAGAATTTAAAAAAGGAAAAAAAAACCTACTTTGTTGGTATTGGTGTTTGGAAAAAGCAATATCCAAGTGGATTTTATTTTGACAATGGTATATTGTTACATGAAGACTAAATGGTATATATATAAAATATTTGTTTTGCAATGCCTTATTAAAGGCCTTGAACTTTGAAACATGTGAAAAAGACGGGTATTGGGGGTAGCATTTTGAAGGTGGACTTTAATGGAAATAACTTAGGAAGCACGTAAACGGAATTTATTTTAAGAACCGACACCATTATCATAGTAAAGATAAGTGTATGTGAGACCGGTACAGGAACCAACAAAGCTGGACGGGAGTTCTAGAGCACACAAGGAAATACAACAGGAACCAGATCACTTATCAGTCTATTGAATATGACCCAGTGCCTACATAAAGACCCAAAGCAAAATTGTTTTTTTCTGTATTTTAGGAATTGGTGATTGTTTATACGTGGAATGTATATATGATAACGGATTACTTTACAGGAATGTATTTAGTTTTATTGCTTATACCTTAAGCATACACATGTTCATAAAATTGTATGCCTGTAATAATTGGTCGGATTTATTGTAGTATTTTCGTACGTGTACATGACATTAACTTCAAACTCTAGTATGAACTATGTCATGAACAGTGTGCACTTAAAACATCTATTTTGCTGTGGTGTGTTAATGTACAAGGGGTAATTTGGTATTTAGGGGATAGTACGTTTTTTTGAGTGGCTATACCTGCGATTAGAACATGAAATTTGGGTTTGAACTCGAGACCGATAGGTCGAGAGTTTAAACCAAATTTCATGTTCTAATTGCAAGTATAGACACGAAAAACAACGTACTATCCCCATTCTAACACACCTTAACACATATACTACATGCACGCTAATATGTTTAGAAACATTGTATTTCCTTGTACAAAAAGTACGTAGTAAAATACTTTGTGACCTGAACTGGCGACGTGTCATTCTGCAGCGGACTGACCAATCGGAAAGAAGCTTTCAAATGTCGGTCATTTGGCCCCGCCCATACTGGCGAGCGCTTGATCTGTATGTTAACGAGGCAGAATATTTGGATTGTTCGTGAACGTCCTGTCATCAAAGTCTATACGACACATTTGGATTAATATTGACATTTCCATGTCAGTATGCATACCAATCTGTGCTTATTTATTATTTGTATAGATTTGTGAAGAGTTGTGTGTAAATGCATACGACACATGTGAAATGTTTCATTTGATTTCGGATCTAAATAAATGCCTTCACACTGATGGAACGAACGTTTTAGTAATAAATGGAGGTAAGAACAAGGAATGTGTACTTTTTACTTTTTAATTCATTCATCAAATACATTTCGTCGGTCGTTTCTGTTCTGTTGCCTCCTAGCCTTATCAGCGGGATTTCGCTAGGCGGCGAGCTTGACGCCATATTGTTTTGGATAGAAACGGGGCGTGGCTTAAGTGCTTTGGGAGGACCTAAACACGATTGATCACGATTCTATGGCAGATTAGAACATGGTCCGTATCCAATCAAAACACGCGTTGCAAACAAATCGTGTTAGAGTATATGTTTTAGTATGTCTTGATTAATATATAACCCTGATAATGAAATTTATGTAAGATATGTTATGATTTCTTCATCGTGTGAGTTTGATATATTGAGATGTCGTAAATCTATAGATGTTAGACGTTGGTTGTTTGTTTGTGTATGGTCCTGAATATCGCTGTTGGAAGTTTAAAGTATGGTTGTCCCTTTGATGTACCTTATTCCTGTACGTGTGACGACGTTTTGGTCCTCGATCAGGAGGTCGTTTTAGCTCGAATTTGACAGACAATGTTGAAGAGACTTGACGACATCGTAAGTAACCCACTGCATGTAATTTACTTACTGTAAGAGATCTTTTGCCAGTTTCTCTACATACTGTTTGATGTAATTTATTTTATCAGTTTTCAAAAGAAACAGCCTTATTTCTTTTCGAATTGCATCCGTATTTACCACGATGACCGACGTCAAACATAGTGCGAGCGTCAATAAAGGAGACACGGCAAACCACTAAATACTGAAACCGCCATATACTGACGTGAGCATGAGACACGGCAAACCACAAAATACTGAAACCGCCATATACTGACGTATGCTCACATGAACGTGTGTGGCATTAAAACTAGGTTAAATTTTAACAGACAATTTGTCGGTTTATCACTGGTATTGGTGAAACGTAATTGGATAATCCAAATATCTTGCGTATCCAAAGTTTAACTGTTTATTGAAAAGATAAAAAAATAAATAAAAAAATGCTTGTAATGTCAAAAACAGTATATAGATTGTATTGTATTTGTTTTCTAAACTAGTTCTGAACATGTTTTATAGGTTGACATAAACATTCAAGATAATCACCATAGGTATTGTTTATATTCCATCCATTGATTCCAAATATTATGATTATGATTTATTCAACACATTTGTTGAAGAAAATGGTAGTATTTGTATAACTTGGGATGTTACTGGAAGAACAAATCCCAGACATGATTTCATTCACTGTGAAAGTGGCCTTTACTTAACTGTTAAAAATAGGCCATTACTACTTTACTAACGATACTAGTGCATGTTCTGAAGAACGAAACGTGCTGTGCAAGTTCAATATCTGTTCAAAAAGGTCTAGTCAAGTAAAAACATCCGGTAAACGGCGAACAACTTGACTTGTGTGAAAACCATAATCTGTCTATTTCAAACAGATGTTGGTCATGGTAAAGCCACTTATAAAGATATATCAGGTGTTAACCACACTATAGTCTCTTCAAATATGTTTAATATCTGTTCAGTGGATGTGGCGGAGTTTGACCAAATTATATCATATCTTGTATGTGCAAATATCTGCCATTGAGTTTTCTTTTAAGGTCAACTTTCCTTGGGGGGGGGGGGTTCAGTCCAGCTTTCATCACAGTCTCGAGGGTCTTTGTCTTCCTCAAATATTTCTGATCAAGAACAACCTGGGCTCAAATATATCGGGGATATTCCGGGATCAGAAGGTTTTGGCTTGTCGTCATATTTTGAATATCAGATATGCTAATGCTATCGCGTTTGCTTACTCATGGATCTGAGAAACTACAGTCAGCCATATTTTTGCCTTCGACAAAAGTTCTCCGGTGACGTCACAATGTCACGTGGGTGTCAAGTATTTCGCTATTTACCTTTTTGAGACAGGTGAGAAAAGGTCGATTCAGCAAATCAAAATCCACGATATTTTTTTTATTAAGAAACTAATCTCCATAAGTTGTTTTTTGGGTATATCTACCGGTTTTTCTTATTGTGTTAATACACCTTAATACTAACAAACACTAGATGTACTCTTTAAAGTAATGATACGAATGTTATTCAAGGGAGATAAGCCAGTGACAATTCTTGAATCTGGAATTCTTGATGATACAAATATACGAGTAATCCCCCTTCCTCCTGAAACTGTCACAAAGGAGACTTAATAGCCGTCGGTCGATGAAATTTTGGCCCTTGCGTGTTTCTCCCTTTTACACCGTACACTGTCAGGTCTATCTCTTTATCATACCTACTGAATAAGTGAAAAATCGGTCTTGAAGTATTTGAGCTCAAGTTTGATATACCTTGAAAATTAGCCATATATTGTAAATATAATGCAAGCGGGCGGAGTCCTCAGCTTAGTGCTGTTGGCATGGTATTGCAGTTAGGTAGCACTCTTGAGCCGGCTTCAGACAACACTAAAATATCGCATCAAACAATGCACGTGGAGGCACGTCCTTATAATACCTCATCTGTTAATAGGACGCTAAACTCATTATACTATGACTTGTTTGCGGATGCAGTGTCACTTGAACCCTGAGCGCTAGTGACCTTTAAGTCTTTGGCATTAAGCGTAACGCCGTCTTAAAGATAATGTAAATTTTTGACACGTTAAATTGTCAAAGAAACGACTTTTGAACGAAACATGTTTACGTCACCTTTGCATTATAAACGTCCATAGAACATCACAACTGACCATGTTACTAAGGTGCGTAACTTACATATTGGTATTTTCGCTTTACTCGTCGTATTTTCTTTTTCATTTTCTGCCATTTTTAGTTATGGCAGCAGGAAATGCATGACAATATGTTTAAAATTAAAAAGGTAAAATTGACGAGAACCAATCATTAACCTAATGATAATAAAAAAAGTTAATCATGTACTAAATGTATCGGGTTTGTGAAAAGATCGTACCCTAATTACACATTTCCTCATCATATACATCTTTTAGAATCTCTATTATCTAATTTTCTTTTTTTCCGTTTTTGTGTGTGTGTGTGTTCATACACTGTTACGTATATGTGTAAGGCCGTTTGCTATAACCTGTTTCTTTCGATGTATTAACCAAGAGGGTGGTCACTTTGTATGCTTGTAACGGGGAAGGGGAGTACGGCATTTTGACTAATTGCAAAAATGTTCTACATAAAGCTGGATATATATATATATATATATACGTATAAAAAGCAAACATATAAAAATGTACATGTATATTGTTTTCATAAATTATGTAAGTCTTCAAGTTAAGAAAAGGCCTTCAATATCATGTCCATAGAACCAGCCGATAGAACTGTCCTGAGCGTGTTGTATTATTAAAGCTCACTCAAACAACATATCGTTTCATGCGTCAGTACACAGATCGGAATAGCAGTCACAAAGAATACATTTTATCAGTCTTTCGTACACGAACAACACAACAGTTGGTACAGCTACCCAAAGACCATCGAGGTAATCAGTGGTTTCAGCATGTTCATTTGTTAATATATTTTTTTCTTCAATGAAACAACATTTAGTAGTTTTCGAGGGGCAAACACTATACCACATTATTTATTTTACACTGTTCAGATGTGTTTTAGTAAATCATAAAATAATATATGCATAGACAAATATCAGCACGTAATAAATGTCACTTTTGTGTCAACGACCGACTATAAACCTAACAGTGGTTCAGACGGAACATTTATACTATGTAAACAGTGCAGAACAACGTACGTATACACTATTCGCCTTATCTGAACAGGTCACTCCGACTATAGACGTTGTCGTCTAAAATAAGCATTCTTCATATAAATGTGTTTCGCAACAATTGCTGTGCTAAGCAAATTACTTCAAACATGTGTGACAAAAAGAGTGATCTCCAGTTATGGTCTATTTCATCTGGAATGCATCCCATTGGCTATTTTGGATTGTCTAGACTCTCTGATCGATTATCGATGTAACTCGTTGCATGTTATTAGTTTAAGCTCTGTACAACAAAACTCAAGAAAGATACAAACGTCCGCGTCCCAAGGTCAATATAGTGCATATTTCAACACAAAAGCCTGAGTACATTAAACCGTTGTGTCGTCATGGATACCATATGATTAATAATGTTGATATGCTACGACACAGGGATATCAGATTCCCTTAAATACCTATGATTAATACGTCAGGACTGAAAGTTTACAAACGATGACACAGTCAAAAAAATATGCCATATTGCATTATCCTCATTCATCAACATAGCAATTGGTGAACTGTCGACATATATTGGAGGGTTACGTCTATCCTTTCACTTCTCAGCAGGATGTGTTGTCACAAACTTCACAACAGGATGCGTTTGCACTAACCTGTTAACCACAGGTTCTGTTACTAACCCTAAACACATTCACGAGTAGTACGTCAGCACGCTTTGTTGGTTTCCGCGAAGTAACAACATGGGTGGCATATCACGTGTAAGTGTTTCCAGCCAACCCATATAGAGTCCTGCCGGACAGTAAGCCTTCCTCGGCACAGGCAAAGTCCTGAAGTCAAACAAAAATTAAATAGGGTTGAAATGTATTTGAAATAATGACCATGTTACCATAAGATGATTAACCACAAAAGAATAGATCGTTATTCACTCTTCATATCGATAAAACAAAGGCAAATTTAAACAAAGGAAATATCTAAAAGATACCTTTGCAAAAGTGTTTAGAGAACAAGACCATATATTCTGGAAGTGTAAGGTACATCTGCGTCATCGACGAAACCGTCAAGTGATATAATAAAAATTCAAGAAATGCCACGTCCTCAAATTATGAACCACGGTAATGACAATGCACACTAATGAATATAATCATAAACATCGACCTTCATATCACACAAAGATATTGCATATCGATGAGATAATGATTACTACGATAGAGCTAACCCAAATACAAAAACCTAAAAAGGACAAGTGCATTTAAGACAGATATTGCGTACACTTTATCAAACAGCTGGTAATTTTGTATTGCCACACCTAATTTTACTTTCGGGTAAAACAGCAGTCGATGATACTTACATTACGATTAGCGACGCCTCTGTTGAATGAATGAGTAGCTGTTCTCGCAAACGGATGTTCCGGTATATCTAAAAACAAAAGGTGACATAGTATGGTTACATATTGTCAGAAAAAATTCACTTGCCTACCCGAAAAAAAACATTTGAAATATCCTTTACAAAATTTGATAACGAGTTCAAGGAAAGAAAAGCGATGATTTTCATATTTTAGTTAATTCATTATAATAGAGGAATTACTATTTTCTTTCTTTTTCAATATACAACATAAAAAATATACCTTTGCCTTGTTTGAAACCATATCACTTTCACTTATTTTCCACGGAAACTCATCTGGGTACTCTCCACCACGTAACCGCCATTTACGAATTGTACTTTCAAATTCCCCACCCGAAAAAAAACATTTGAAATATCCTTTACAAAATTTGATAACGAGTTCAAGGAAAGAAAAGCGATGATTTTCATATTTTAGTTAATTCATTATAATAGAGGAATTACTATTTTCTTTCTTTTTCAATATACAACATAAAAAATATACCTTTGCCTTGTTTGAAACCATATCACTTTCACTTATTTTCCACGGAAACTCATCTGGGTACTCTCCACCACGTAACCGCCATTTACGAATTGTACTTTCAAATTCTTTGTACCTGAAAGAAAATATTGAAGTTTTAGTAAAATGCATTGAAAACTTTCCACTGCATAGGTTATGCTAAGAGTTATCGTATCTGATGGATGATTGTTTGGATTTGGATTTGCGAACTATTTTTATATTTCGAGGTAAATATTTTTATTATGATGTATTGTATACCCGACAGTACAGGTACATACATGTTGAGAGACGGCTTCTTCCACAGGTCCGGTATTACTGTCAGTTGGGAGTACTCTATCCGGAACTTTGCCAGCAGGGAAGCCATTCTAATAAAAAGCACGTTTATCACATATATACTTTTTTTACTGATATAGATTAACGTATATACATATGTATACATGCAGCAAAAAACATCTATAATGTTGTTAAAAAATATTTGTACCATATTTGAAGCATGCATATTTCACACACAATAAAAATAATTGATTTATAAATAATTATCGAAGCGAATATTCAAAGTAGGAAAACAAATGTGGTAAATATCAGCAAACGTTTTACACTGGTGCAATATTGATGTGTCAAAGGGGATATAATGTTTATTTACTTTACCTCATTTGGTCTTCGTTTGGATTGGAATGCTTCGTGCCAGCACAGAATACTCTCAGTTTGCAGTCTTTCCACTTTCTCCGCGTAGAAAGGATGTAAGGTATCAGCAATGTCAGGCCTGTAAGAATATATGAGTAGTTACGGTAAAGATAGTAAATATAACAATTTGGTACGTGCTTGATGGTCATCAAAACTCTCATGCCTTTCATCCGAGTTACATTTTACAGCACGATCTAATGCATCTACATCAACGATACAATTACGCTCGATATCGTCACTGAACATTCTCCTGACAAGATTTAGTCATGAATTGTAGTAAACAATTCATTTATTATCGAAATGCAGAATATTTCGTAATTGCTTGTAAATACTACGTCTTGATTAGAATTACAACTCATCTGTTCTTAATTAGAATTACAACTCATCTGTTCTTAATTAGAATTACAACTCATCTGTTCTTCATTAGAATTACAACACTAATCTGTTCTTAATTAGAATTACAACTCATCTGTTCTTAATTAGAATTACAACTCATCTGTTCTTAATTTGAGGAAATTGAGCGTTTCAGTTGAGGACAATGCCTTCATATTTAAAGATGTTCAACTCTTTGTAATAAGATGAAGCATGTTTTTTTCTAAGGTCACCTTCATTCCATTTTAAACATTTATTTATAAGTTATGTTACTATAAGGTTTTCATACAGTGTAATTTATAGTTTTATTTAGCCTAATATTTCTTTATCAAATGTAAATGGTAAACGTACCAACAGTATATCTATCTTACAATGTTTTACACCAGATAATACTTGTTTTAAGTAATAGAAATTATATGAATGACTTGCAGTTTTGCCGTATAGTTATGAAGGTAATTGCACTAACCTCCGTCGTCGTAAAGCCACCATACATCTATGGTGCCGTACTGCTTCTCTCTGAACCTTTCTGCGTTGGAATCACAGGACAGTGTAGATAGGAGAGTGGTGTGTGTGGGGCGTGCCTCATCCCTCTCCTCCTCTTCTCCCAAGTGTGTCCCTTGGTCCCGTACATAGGCATTGTTTTCCTCCGCCCCTTCCTCTACAGTGTTAAGTCTCTGTAGTACCACGTGGTTCTTAGGTGGAGTGACTTTTGGCTTGCTATTTAAAAATTTGTAAGAACTTTCGTTTTCGGTGTTTTCTCCGGGAATGTCACTATGTCCTGTTGATATGGTAGGGGATTTTTGTGAATCTACCTCCAAGTGAATATCTGTAATTGAAAATAAGGACAGTTTTTCGTGCTTGTTTAAGTTACGCGTATATTTGTTTGAATTTCTAAAGTAATTTGATCGATATAGTGTAAATACCAAATATTCTACTTTTTCCATATTTCGTACTGTTCATTCACTCATCCATTAGAGAAGAAGAAAACGGACAACTAACAGGAATGACAAGATGACATGAAAATACTTTCAAAACCATTAAAATATCACTTCGGAGTGCCCTCGGTCTGTTTTGTGTAACACCTTTAATATTAGGTAACAGAGTACAGTAGAAATGGCTTGATCCTAAAATACAGGGCATGTCTCGGATAAACAAGGATAGCGGATTCATCCTGCACAACACACCTACATATATATATATATATTTATAAACTACATTTTGAATACTTTTTTTTTTAGAAGATTTTTTTCAAGAAGTGATTTCTCCAGTATTTTTTTTTTCTTAAAACCTGTCTTAAATTGAATATCACCTACCCGGTAAAGGAAATACTCATGTTTTAGCATAGGTCGTTCAACTGGATTTTTCACAATATTTACATATGCACTGAATACAAAAATAGACTACATGAAAAGCTAGCTTTTGTTGTGTAGACACAGATTTGCAAATGACCAAAAAAGGTAGTCTCAAACCAATTTTTTTTTCTTCTCAATATGAAGCCCACATAGTCCACTTTATCATGCATATGCCAATTTTAGTGCTGATTGTTTTTATTAAATTTTGATACATGTAATATTACATGGGTTATTCATTATACAAAATTCTCACCCATGGCCAATGTACGCTACTACTGTACCATGGCCACCGTACGCTACTACTGTACCATGACCACCGTACGCTACTACTGTACCATGGCCACCGTATACTAATACCGTACCATGGCCACCGTACACTAATACCGTACCATGGCCACCGTACGCTAATACTGTACCATGGCCACCGTACGCTAATACCGTACCATGGCCACCGTACACTAATACCGTACCATGGCCACCGTATACTAATACCGTACCATGGCCACCATACGCTACTACTGTACCATGGCCACCGTACACTAATACCGTACCATGGCCACCATAAGCTACTACTGTACCATGGCCACCGTACGCTGATGCCGTACCATGGCCACCGTACGCTACTACTGTCCCATGGCCACCGTACGCTGATGCCGTACCATGGCCACCGTACGCTAATACTGTTCCATGGCCACCGTACGCTAATACCGTACCATAGCCACCGTACGCTACTACTGTACCAAGGCCACCGTACGCTGCTGCCGTACCATGGCCACCGTACGCTACTACTGTACCAGGGCCACCGTACGCTACTACCGTACCATAGCCACCGTACGCTACTACTGTACCAAGGCCACCGTACGCTACTACCGTACCATGGCCACCGTACGCTACTACCGTACCATAGCCACCGTACGCTACTACTGTACCATGGCCACCGTACACTAATGCCGTACCATGGCCACCGTATACTAATACCGTACCATGTCCACCGTACGCTACTACTGTACCATGGCCACCGTGCGCTACTACTGTACCAAGGCCACCGTACGCTGATGACGTACCATGGCCACCGTACGCTACTACTGTACCAGGGCCACCGTACGCTGATGACGTACCATGGCCCCCGTACGCTACTACTGTCCCATGGCCACCGTACGCTGATGCCGTACCATGGCCACCGTACGCTACTACCGTACCATGGTCACCGTACGCTACTACTGTACCATGGCCACCGTGCGCTACTACTGTACCATGGCCACCGTACGCTGATGCCGTACCATGGCCACCGTACGCTAATACTGTACCATGGCCACCGTACGCTAATGCCGTACCATGGCCACCGTACGCTAATACTGTACCATGGCCACCATAAGCTACTACTGTACCATGGCCGCCGTACGCTGATGCCGTACCATGGCCACCGTACGCTACTACTGTATCAAGGCGACCGTACGCTGATGACGTACCATGGCCACCGTACGCTACTCCTGTACCATGGCCACCGTACGCTACTACTGTACCATGGTCACCGTACGCTTCTGTACACTACTACCATTAGCATGTTAATCGATTTCATAAATAGACATACATAACATAATTGTGTTTCGGGTAAGTGACGAATACCTTGCTCAGTGTCCTGCTCGTGATCAGACTCAATATCATCGTCCAGTCCGACACAATCGTCCGGAACCTTGTTCAAGTCCAGTCCTTCGGGCACGCGCAATATCCCTACACCGTAGTTCAGATCAAACGCATCCCTGGAATTAAGTCTCATATTTTCAAATGATTTTAGATACCATGTATGACTATTATACATACTGTACACATACCACTTATTTCTCTGCGTCACGTATTCCATATCAGTGACTATACATGTCCATGGGAAGTAGATACAAACCGTTAACGTAACTTCTTTCTTACCAAACAAAACCGCAGACGTACCAAAACGAACAATAATTGAAAATACGTTTAAGCTTTATACAAACATAGATTTTCTTTTGTGACAGTAAAAAGAAACAAACTTGGTTATGAAAGTCGATCGGTATTAAAAGTCCTTATATATCCACATCCACATCCATAGCAAGTAATTGATTTCTAAACCAAATGTAAATCGATTGTTGAGAGATAATATAAAACAAGTATGCATGCAAATTGAATTGCAAACTGTGGGTTAAGTATGATGATAAAGCCCTCACTGTATGATGTTGTAGTAATCGTCCACCTCGTACCCGTCTGCCTTCTGCCAGTCAGATTTGTAACCCATGATAATGGTGTTGGGTCGAAGTTTCCCTATACCAACGGCCTGAAAAAGAAAATAATACAAAAGCAATGTCAAATGTCTAAAAATGACAACCCTTGGACTCTAAAATTATAATTTCAAACAGTTAAAGTATTTGATTTCGTCCTTTCATACTTCTTATTTTAGTTAGTATAGTCACTACAACTACGAGCGGCCCTACCTGCATTAACACCTGCGCGCCTATCCTTAGTGTCGGAGTTACCACACTATTGTAGAAAGCCTTAATACTGCGTCTCTCAAACCACTTGTAGGCCGCGTTCGACCTTAGGTTCTTTACATGGTCGGACAACTCTCCCTGCCACATAAATAAAAATCCACATTGTTTAATTTACATATTCAGGAAAATAGAAAACAATTGATTTGAATACATTTATTAAAAGAGACAATTCAGAATAACGATAGAAATTAATGCAGTAACTAGCTATTAAAGAATTATAATAATTGTGGTGCCTACCCTGAATATGTGACCACACATGAGCAGACTCTGCCTCTTGGTGAGACAGGCCACGAAGTCGATCAGTTGGGGTCGGTTACGAGGGTATCCCGAGAGTACCAACACCTGCGGCCTATAACAAAAATAAAGTTTGATGTAACGGGAAAGTAACTGTTCTACATATGTGTGTGGTGCAGAATACGTATCTACGTATTGCCTTCAGCTCTGTGAAATGGCTGTAATCGCCACTCAATGTGTTCACAGGATAATTCTGATGTTTATAATTGTTTACGCACGATATGTTTAATTGTCATATATATTGCTTTTCTATTCCCGAAATACGAAGAAAATCAAAGAGAAATACATATGGAACACAATTTTTGTAGAAAATTAGGAACACCGCCCATATGGAAATTTAACAATTCTAGAGAAATAAATCAGTAAACGTTGTCTCCCTTCCCGCAGTTCAATCCCTTTCCATATCCGACGTAATTTTTGAATTAAAAAGAAATGGTAAGGTATGAATCCTAAAAATGACCCAATCAAATGTATCGCCGAATCTACCTGAAGTTTTTTACATGCTCGTCCATTTTGATGAGTTTCATGCTGGACTTGAGCGCCTCTCTGTACACGTGAGCCTGTGTCGAGGATCCCCAGTTTACATCTGAAACACAAAGATAACGGTAAAAGCATTTATTAAAATATTTAGTAAAAAAATGTTATGCTACTAACTTAACCTTACATCAAGGATGATGTAGTGGTACACGCAGTGTCAATATCAACATAACGTAAAGTCCGCATTTATGTACATGTATATATCATTTGCTAAATTTCACATCGGCACACGTTTCAAGACAACATTCGTTCTAATGGATATGAAACTATCAATAGTGTCCCACATCACACATATTCTACCTGACCCTAAACCATCTAATATTGTCTGTTAACAAAGTACCTAACACACTTCTGTGTCATACTAAATGCATGTTATACAATGGTGCGAGTTTTCATGTAACCATCTAAAGAATACTACATTTCACTTTATAATATCATGAGTCAGTAGTATTTGATTTTACTGAAATGCTTCATCTGTTAAACCAACCTCCATACACGGTGTGCTACCAAGCGTAGAATTCATCATTTCATTGAATTTTACACTTTTTATTGGGTATACAATACATTGACACATACAAGTTACGCATTACTCGTACCTGGTTTCTTGATCTTGACATACATGTAAAGGGAACACACAAAGACGAATGTGATTAATGCTGACCACCAGTTGATAAGGAACATCACGGCAAGACAGATCAGAGCTCCTAAAAGACTTGTCCACTTGTTGTAAAACCTAAATGCCGGTCGGAACCCTATCAAAAATACATATAATCATGAGTTTTATGATTTACTAAAATGAATACGTAATACGCAAGCAAAGCTTTCGAACTTTTAAAGTATACAGTGAACGGTCGGCTCACTGCCAGGATATGACAAGACGCAAGGCCAGATCGATAGACGTAGTTAATATGTGGTGAAACAAAGCAATTTTGAGGGAAATCAAAAGATATATTTTTGTATTTTTTTGGTGTAGAAAGAATAATCATGTTTGTCGCAGAGAACTTTATTAATAAATTAAAAAAAGTAACACTAGCTTACCAGGCGAGCCAGCAATGGAGGCATCGAAGCAAGAATAGTTAATCAAAGCGTATGCCATCAGAAAAAAGTTCGATATTATGGGCGCGATCAGATCCAGGGCCCCTGTAACAAGACAAATATAACGTCAGTAGACATCACTATACGTGATACAGGAGAATAATTCTATAAGTTAAGGACATTCAGGGGTTAAAACAAATATGTATATTGAATGTTTGTTCAGCTACTTACCGATACATGTCATTGCCACACAGATGAAAAAGGCGAGGAGATAACCACGTCTTGGCTCACTACTGCGACCGTAACCTTTGGCAAAGAATTCAATGAATGGAAACAATTTGTCCTTTCCGAGAGCCTAAGAAACAAATACAGTATGAAAGGTTTGATCAGTTTATCGGCTATAATTGTGAATGATAATTCAAAGGATGCATATATTTGTTTCAGACCAATCACTTATCATATAGTAAATTAACTTACCTGAAACACTTTAGGAGCCCCGACCAAACTGGCTAAAGCAGAGGAAAGGGTTGCAGAAAATATACCAGCGAGGATGAGAGGCCTGAACGCGGAGGCTACACCAACAGCCTGTACAAAAACAAAGGACCACAGAACTGTAAGCGATGTCGATTTCACAGTGTTAGTCAAGAAAAGTTCGATATGATCTATTCCTAAATTTGTATCAGATCATGTTTTATGCCTCACGACCTTCTGAAAAAAAGCAATTGTAAACACGTAGACATTTGACAGATGTTTTATCCTTAAATGACGAGGATACCGTGAGATCTATTAACATTTGATTCATTCATCAGAATTTGGAAGTAATTAGTTGCAACTAATAAAATATGCAAGATGTATTATTCACAAAATAACAAAAGCTGAAAAGTAATTTGTGAGTTGGCAAATATTTACCTTCTTCTTAAAACAAAAACGTTTAAAAATAAAAGTAAAAATAAAACGAACAATACTGCGATCAACTGTTATTTGACAGAAACTGAAATCCCTTAGTTGGGAGCCATGCTATAATATCGAATGCCGTTACTTTCATGTAGACTGAAGCCTCTCCGATACGTTTGAATGTTACTCGATTACACTTAAACGTATTGGAGAGGCTTCAGTTAAACAATGTATAAAATAGATAAATAACTTAATAAATGTTTTTAATATTAACTATACTGATGTCTGTAACAAACAACTTTACCCCGTTGTCATTCATCAGTCCGTACTCGCACGTTTTGTTGAACATGTCACAATGTCGGACGACTTCGGTGGAGGGTACAGTAACTGGGCTGGGGATGACGGTGACGTTGTTTGTGACGTTAGCTATCATTTCCATGGCAACTGGCCCGACGGCATCCCGCATTATACATGACCCGGCGATCCACAGCATCGCCAAGTATACTAAGGTGGTCAAGAAAATGGCAAGAAACGTACCCTTCGGTATAGCTTTCTGTGGATTCTGCAAGCAATAAAGAAAGCGACTTTTACTGCAATATACATTCATGTGATCTCACTTCAATAGATTAGAAACGTATGCTTTGTACTTGAGACCGTTATGAAAATTGGCCTTCTATTTTGTGTGACGAAGTTTTCATATGTACTGAGACGAAAAGAACCTACCTTCAGGTCACCAGATATGTTAGCGCCTGCCAATATTCCAGTAGCAGCAGGAAAGAAGATGGAAAAAACTGTGAAGAAACTATTGCCGTCACGGAAGGCTGGACCGAAGTTTTCCGAAAACACATCAGCTATAGATTACAAATAAAGAAAAGTATACTGTCGCCATTCACGTACGAGGGATCTCAACGGGTAATACTTAACAAATTATAAGTTCTCTGTTTGATATTTTGTAAAAACATTTTTATGTTTAAATGATTGAGCTGTTAACTATATAGTGACTGGCATTTACCTGAATATTCCTACCTAACAAGTCATATCTATCTCTATTGTGGATTTCTGACAATTCCATTATGACTATTAAGCAGCGGCAGTTTGGCATTGTTTTGTTGGGTTTAGCGTGCTTTTAACCACTAAGTTCCTTTAAGCACATGCCTCCATGGATGTAATGTATGCGTTGTGCTAAAACGGTATGTTGGGGACAGGACGCACAGCCTTCCCCGACTTGGATCAACGTCAACATCAAGGTCAAAAGTAAAGTATTGTGAACAATGCGCTAGAAAGCCAAAAGGTTATTGGAAGGAAGAGAGACATATGAAGGCGTCAAATAATGCAGTGGGCGTAGAATATTTATTTTGGTTGCTTTTGAGTTTCTAAACTCAGCAAAACTCCAATTCTGCAAGGGGATTTCCAAATTGGTTGTCCCTTAAAACAAGCAGCGGGTAACAGTAGGTACAAACGTATATACGTTTCTCACCAAACATGGGCGTGAGCGTAGAATGCATGAATTGCATGTTTAATTATATGTCCGGCATAGACACTTTACCATTGTATCCCACGAATCCTTTCAACTGTTTCTCCTCTGTCGGGGGGATGAATGTTCCCACGACGAAGTTGATTATTGCGATCGTCAGAATTACCAGCAGACCCATCTGTGCCTGTAATAGTGCGGGAAATATTAACAAACAGTAACAGTATGATTCATGTCTAAATCGCTCGTTATTTCATAACTTACGTTAATCTTATTAACATATAGAGTTTTGCATCAGCGGGTAAATTGAAACATAGTGACACTTTATAGAACACTAGATTTAAGCATCATTCTAAAACAACAGATAGGAAAAAGGTTCAACAACATTTCTATAATGTTGAAAATAAGATTGTGTAGCTTTTAAAATTGTCAAATTACCAGAGAGTTTGAGAGAAATTTTAAAAGCCAAAAGAGATCAGTCCGCATGTGATATCACTTTTTGTATGTCATTACCAGAAGGAAGACTTTAAATTTTTGATATGTAGATTAATTAGAAAAAAGCACGAACATGGTTTTCTTTCATAAATTGTTTACAAATCCACTTTTTCTCTTCTTATTTAAACAAAGAAACATTAGCACGGAATACCTACTTTGGCCTCCCACTCCATGCCAATGATCACTATCCCCACCAAAAGAACTGACGTGGCACAACCAATAATCCTGACGTCATGCATCCGGTCCCCCGTAATGGTCGTGTCAAACTCCTATAGCAACACAACGAGAGGGATATTTTATTTAATAACCAATTACTCCAAACAATGTTACTGTAATCTCTGTCGTGTGTGCAAACAATTCCGTTTCTAATATATGATGTTTTATGACGAAAGTGTGATATGTTATAATGGGAAAACGTTTTTTGTGGTCAGTTTATACGGAGATGACGTGTCATACCATCATTGTATAGAGTTTTGGTGATGTGTTTGTAAGCCAGTGACGTAAACCCTACCATCATGAGTGACTGAACAGTCTCTGCAAATCCCACGATGTACATGGCCGCCGCGATGGCATTGGCAAGAGAAAAGACAATTCCAATAGATCCACCAAACTCTGGACCCAGGCTCCTCGATATCATGTAGTACGCCCCACCTGTGTCGGCAAATTTGATTTTGAAATAACAAGTACAAATATCAAATTATTTGTGTTGTGCAATAGAAGCTTTCATATCAATAACAATAAATACACTTAGAAATGAAATGATAGGCATTCCCCAGCTTAGTGATGTTATATGAGCGAGTTTAAGCTAATATTGCTCGTCTTCCCTTGCCGTTGCAGCTTGACATGTGATCCTATAGAAAGGTTTGTATTGTATTTACCTCCCTTGACCTTACCTTCCTTTTCTACATCTGAAGCTATTCAGCTCGAGCTATTCGATCGATACATGTCCACTCTTTTTAAGAACGTTTTCTTATTCTATCTCGTATCTGCTTCATGTGTAGCTTCATGAAAACAAGTCCATCAATGACTTTTCTAAGTAATAATGTTTGGCACATAAACTAGAACACTGACAGGCCAGTGAGGGCCCCGTCTTGTGGCAATATATCCCCAATAATTATCAAGAAGCAATCTGCCCATATAGCTGAGCTTGACGTTCGACATTTGAACTTCAAACAGAATCGCAATTAAGCAAAATATACATTTTACATGTACTATGATGCGAGTCTTGTTTCCGTCCACCTCCATATTTGATGGGCTAACAGAAATATAAATACCAGTGCAATACTCATTTGTTAGCTACCTGCACCATCAAGAGCCAGGATTAAAGACAGAGATTCACTATGTCTTTGACCTTTGGATCCAAATGACCTTGACCTTTAATCCAGTGACCCTGATCTTTGGTCTGTTGACTTATTCTTTAATTCCAACCAACTTTGCTTCATAATATCATAACAAAATGTTCATCAGTGAAAAATACAAAACTTGACCTTGACCTTAATTCTTTGGACCTCATACCCTGAGCCCTTGGTCAGTTGACTCCGTGTTAAGTTCTGAACAACTTTTTTTAATTACATAAAAAAAAATGTTAATCAGTAAAAAGATACCATATTTGACCTTGACATTGAGCCAGTGACCTTGACCATAAGTCAGTTGACTCCTTGTTAAATTCTAACCAATTTTGCTTCATAATGTCAAAAAAATGTTCATCAGTGAAAAGATACACAATTTGACCTTGACCTTTGAACCAGGGACCTTGATCTTTGCTCAAATGACACCTTGTTTAATTCCGACCAACTTTGCTTCAAAATGTCATAATGACATTGACCTTTGAACATAATGATCATGACCTTTGAACTTGACTATTTATCTCAGTGTATATTTGTGTAAACTGAACATCTTGACCAAGTTTCATGTAAATCGGTCAATAAATACTTAAGTTATCAGCCAGGAACAAAATGTGTGGACGGGCGGACGGACGGACAGACAGAGTAATTACTATAGGGCACCTGTATCTCCGATACGGAGATACGGGGCCCTAATTATGAATTCTTTTGATTAAATACGTAATAACTCAGGGATTTCTACCACAAATTCTTCAAACTGCGTAATACGCTGGAGAGTAAATATGATTATCGGGACCTGATTTCAAACGATGCAGTAATATGGAAAATAATTATTAAAATAATGCTTGCTTACTGTGTTTTTGATCGTTGGTGACCTAAACATTCTTTCCAACATTTGCCGAAAGACCCTGAATCCCTAAACAGTCTTACCTCCCTTTACCTCACCGTTGGTACATATAGCGGACATGGAGGTTGTGGTGATGATTGTGACGAAGGCGGACAGGAGGACCACGATCGAGGCTAGTCCTATCCCCGCTTGGCCCGTCACCCACGTCAGCCTCAGGAACAGCATCACACCAAAAATATTCAGTAGACATCGCACCTATGGTTACATGTTAACATGAGCATGCTAGGGCATCTATAATAATAAAACTTTCAAAACTTTCCAAACAACGCATATTTTACAACCTCCTCATGCTTTTGACTACACGAACATGAGGGTACTTCATAGGGGAGGATACTATTCATTTTCTTTGCAATGGTTTTTATTTCTGCACAGGATTTCTAGCCATAGAACATTATTCAATCGCCATGATTGTAGTATTATTATTTTTCATGTAGCATTTTAAGCATTCACTTTTATCAATAGTAAACATAGCAACCAAAACGTCAAACATACAGTTCGAAATCAAGTTATATGATGTTAATGTTAAATATCATTTCTACTCAGAAAATATGATATCCACATACATGTAGTAACATGTGAGCACCCTGTCGAACTTCTGACAGCGCTGTAACTAATACGTACCAGTACACCTTGTATCCAGCCAAACTTGAGTGCCCCAGACGTCACCGATGGTCTGGGGGAGGGTTTGGGGCCGTCCTCCACGTCCTTCAGTTCATCAGCGAATAGTCCGTCCTTGATCGATGGGGTATTAGGTGTCCGTGGGCTTGTCGGCTATGAAGGATAAACGCGGTATTTCATATTGAAAGGCTGATGCATAGGGACGTCGTCTAGCGTTACGTGATTTCATCATAAGTGTCAAATGTCTAGTTTCTCTGTTGGTTTCTTACGAGTAAAAGAAGACATTTTTCTTTTTCTTTTAGATACTTACGTAAAAAATGGAAACAGCGATGTAAATCAAGGGATATGACTCGACGTAATTGGTTTCGGGGTTTAAGGAGCCTTGTCCAACCGCAGACAAAACACTAGATAATTCCACTGTAGGTTTTCATATAAATACAATGTACGTACAGTAATTATCTCCCCTTAATTTCGTTTCGGATAACACTGTAGGTAATGCGACTGGTCAATGCTATAGAATAATGACCTAAGATTCATTTCTTTTTTATTTAGTATTAAAACATTTCGTCATGAAACTTCCGCGGGGTATCGTTTTCTTTTCAGAAATGATTTATTAAAGCTATAGTCAAGCTCGAAAAAAAAGTATCCAAATGCTAATTATTTCGGGTTTTTGCAGCGGAACGGATATCTCTAAATCCCAAATGTTTAGTCTGCAGAACAGTAAAGATCCGGGAATGCAGCATACGTCTAGGTTTGTCCATACGTTTGTTCTCGTTACCGTTAATTCAATTGAAATACGGTAAGCAAACTTACGTAAACCAAACATCTACCCTGAGGCACTTTCAGCACTCGTACACAATGTATTACAGTGACTTTGCGTTTCCTATATTGCGTGTAGCTAAAGAACCCCTGGGATGATGCATGGCCCAGGAAGGCCCGTAGGTGTTGAGAGCTATTTATAACTCTAATTTAGCATTGTTTAGTTCTCCCAGACTGCTGAATACATATTTATGTCGTAAACCTGTCATGTCTGCTGTTGATTTCTCTCTTACGCTGACATTTCTCACCAACCATGGCGATTATTCCATCCAACTAGGCAAATTGCATAATTGTGCTTGTACGATACTGAATAAATTCGTATGTTTGAACTCAACATTTTTATTTACATTTTAGAGACTGCGTCAGCTGTACAAAGCTGGTAAGTGTACTCATTGTACTTGGTATAGCTGTACCACATGTCTCCGAATACCGATCATGATTTTGAATCTTGCTAAATATTTACCTAATCCAAAAACACAGGATTATTTATAAAAACAAACAGCACTTTGAAATATCGATAAGGTTTTTTTCTGACATTGATAAAGGCTCCTTTTTTGTTTTACGTTTTTTGAATACAGGTGAATTCCAATCACCATCACCAAAGGCTTACGCCTGATGTATCACAAAGAAATGTGCAAAACATAATGGTTGGAACTCATTCTCACATATCTACATTGTGAATAAATAGTTGTGTGACATTTAATCCCAGGTTACTTATATTAAACATTTATATAACATAAAATTCCTACATAAAATATATGTGTTTAATTTGTTGATTATTAACCAAATAAATGCCAGAGAGCGCCTATACCAGGCCTAATTCATGCATTATGCGTCAGAATTATCTCACTGCTGTACATGGATTGCGACCTATCTGTATATATTACCATATTAATTTATAATTCACACTGTATAACGAAAATATTCATTTTTTTCTATTTGTCTGACACAAATTGCATTGGCGCTGTTATCGTTTTCGTGCATTGTATGTAATATAAAACAACCGTTTGTAAACAACCTGTATTCTGTACTACATCCCATTCTACGTGTCTCGTGGACCGACGTTTTGACGATTACTTGATTGATACATGTTTTCAACAGTATTTTACAAATCAAACCTCATTTGCTTGTTCAAGCCGAGTCATCTCTGACAATCAACTAAATTTGATAAAAAATACATTTGAAAAAAATTCGTTTACTGCCAGTAATAATACGCGCACGACGTGTATAAGGTAAACATAGGGTGACTGACGAACTCTGAATGTGTTTAGCTGTAGGAAATCAAATAATCAAAATAAAACTCATGTCTTGGGGCGTCTCAGAGAGAGTAATATAATGAAAGGTGATACAAATACTATATACGCTCTACATGTTACATAGCAAAACAACACAATATATATTGTACAAACACCATGTTACAGTAGCATGTTTGCTATAGATTGTGTTTCTACCAAAAGTATCACAGTATCATTCAAATATTTAAGATTTGTTTTAATACGATATTACATCGAAATACCTGCATTTCATTCTTTAATATTGTCTGTGGTATTTTTTCCCCATTTGGCAGTCATAACTACGAAGGCTAGGGAGGTACATATGGCCCTGAACCACTCGTGCTCTCCCTTACACACTGTACATTAAATAGGGAGGTACATGTGGCCCTGAAACACTCGCTCTCTCCCTTAGACACTATACATTAAATAGGGAGGTACATGTGGCCCTGAAACACCCGCGCTCTCCCTTACACACTATACATTAAATAGGGAGGTTACATGTGGCCCTGAAACACCCGCGCTCTCCCTTATACACTGTACATTAAATAGGGAGGTACATGTGGCCCTAAAACACCCGTGCTCTCCCTTATACACTGTACATTAAATAGGGAGGAACATGTGGCCCTGAAACACCCGCGCTCTCCCTTACACACTGTACATTAAATAGGGAGGTTACATGTGGCCCTGAAACACCCGCGCTCTCCCTTATACTCTGTACATTAAATAGGGAGGTACATGTGGCCCTGAAACACCCGCGCTCTCCCTTATACACTGTACATTAAAAAGGGAGGTACATGTGGCCCTAAAACACCCGTGCTCTCCCTTATACACTGTACATTAAATAGGGAGGTACATGTGGCCCTGAACCACCCGCGCTCTCCCTTACACACTGTACATTAAAAAGGGAGGTACACGTGGCCCTGAAACACCCGCGCTCTTCCTTACACACTGTACATTAAATAGGGAGGTTACATGTGGCCCTGAATACACATTTTGAACGACATGCATGGTTAATGTGTTGACGTTGGATCACCCCAGGGTTGCTAAAAGAACAAGGCTCGAGTTAACAACATCATCCGTTAACCCTTGATACCATAACAAGTGGTCAGATCGCCCTGGCACCCGAGGGGAGGGTGACGATAGTATAGTGTCAACCTGGTCAGTTGTCCTTCAAAAGTGACCCTGACGTCAATCGTAAGTCACTGTCACTAATAAGTTTTCGCAGTAAGTGGTCAACTGTTTGACAGGAGATAACAAAGAATGTAAACTTCTTCTTAAATCTTACGTTTATTCCTTTATTACCGTTGCTCCCTGCCGACAAAGTCATCTGTCTCCTGACCCCCCTAAGTCACAATTGATAACTATTCTACGTGTAAATGTTAATCATTTTACGTAACAATTTTTGTATTAATAATTTTATGTTTCTTTTTCTTTCTTTATTATTATTTTTTTGAGGAAAACCAGTTATTCCCCCTGACGACCATTCATTTTGACGATAATTAAGTCTGAATATCATTACTATACGAAATAAACGTAACGCTTTGTCAAAATTGTCCTGTAACGGATTACAAATGTAATTTTAGGGAGGTGGGGATAAAATAAAACATAAAAGTGGCGTTTTCTGGAGATTTTCAAAGGATACCACAACGAGAAAACACGTACCTCCTCGTCCCTGAGTTCGTCTAAGGTGGGTCTTTGACGCACGTCGTCGTTAGGGAATACAGAGAATAGGTCCCGGTAATGGTCAACGTGCGGAAGTGCTTCAAATGTGTCCTGGTTCGAACTCATAACAGACACCACCGACATGCGCTGATGCTGCTGTACGAAGAAGGCGTCCATAGATGACTTCCGGCCGGGTGCGGCGGCCCGGCCGTAAGGGGTAAGAAAGTGGTGTTCCGAAGAGGATATCTTGCGGGCAGGGATGTAGTGCCGAATTGGCTCGCCCTCTGGACCCACCATTATGGATACTTTTCTTATCCTCCCAGTTTCCTCTGGTACAGAACCGTCCTCCGAAATTCCCGTCAAACTTGGTTCTTTCCCAGATATTTTCCGTTCCTTTACATGCGACACTTGGAATTTATTTGGGTCCGATTCCAGGTTTGTTTCTGACTTCTCATGTTCTATTCTTATTTCCGGAACCGCCGTTTTCGGCATTGCCGGAGACACTTGTTTCTCTGTATCGTCTGTAGACGACATCACGGTAGAGTTATTCCGTTTTAGTCCTGCGACACCACTCTAACTAGTATTTGTTGTATGTGCCTGGCTCCCGATCCCGACTGTCAGTGTGTAGTGTTACGACCGGTCATTATTTCCTCCAGTAGTCTACAGGTATGAGTTGTATAGGTATTTGTCGTCTGTATACTCCCAATGCGGTCACTACCACCGACACTTCAGCACTGGCCTTCCCCGAACGCCTGTCAGACCCTACACCTTTCCCCGTCATCAATCATAACCGCGCGTGCTCTGTGACGTCACTATAATGTATCAAAACAATTGAATTAATGCTAGCACGTGTAAATATGAGCATTATGCATTCCGTAAGTAACGGTATGTAAGCCGATGTGAGTGAATGCAAATTAATTCAAATGTGAATTAGATTGTAATGTAAACAGGTGAGTGCAAATACCAAGCATGAACAGAGGATGACGTCACGTACAGGCAGTCTAAAAATCCGCTTGCTGCGCCGTGGGGACTACAACATAAATATACCTCTCCGAACGCGAAAAATTTAAAATAAGTAATTTGCACAAAAACAGCTTTCAGTGTGCATCTCCCTGTGTATGTTGTTGACAATGAATATATCTTCCTTCATTCTGAGTGGTTTTTACACATTGATCAATAATGTTTACCTGTTGACCATCATCTGAACCCGAGATATTTCTGTCCGTAAACAGACACCTGCAGGATGGAGAATCACAATGTACACAAGCATCATCGACATTTTTTGTACAATTAAATGATACAGCATATGAGTATACTATGTCAAGTGGTATGGGTAGTACCTGTTTCCGTCTCTGTAGCCGAGAGGCTTTATAACACCGGTAGTGTGCAGTGTGCTACACTGTATAGAAGCACGCTATACTTTATCATAAGGAAGGATCTTTACTGTTTATCAACTCCTTCTTTTATTGTGTAACAATTTTGAGAGTAAGAAAATAAGTGATTAGCAGACTTACATGCCTGACAAAATGTAATTGATGCAGTGATTTAAAATGGTATGTGACGCCTTTAACTGTCTTTTCCTGTTTAGTCTCATTTGAACATTTTAATACAAATTGAACACTCTTGTTCTTTTAAGTGTCGTTATATTGTACCAGTTATAACTTGAACATTTGTGAGACGCCTTGAACAGTCTTTGTAGAAACAGTTCAAGCTTATTCCGTAATTGCTCGAGGAGTATCTAGTCTCTACTTCAAAAATATATCTTCTTGCCGATTAATGCGCCGGAATTAAGAACTCATTATATATAGTTACAACACGATGTATTGCTGATTTTGATACAAAAAAAATACGGTTTCAAAATATTATTAAATCCCTCAGATTGTACTTTTAACCTAGTCTTATAGTTTGTATATCTATATACTTACTCCGCACCTGGTCCTATAGTTTTATATCTGTATACTTACTCCACACATGGTCCTATAGTTTTATATCTGTATACTTACTCCATACCTGGTCCTATAGTTTTATATCTATATAACTTACTCCACACCTGGTCCTATAGTTTTATATCTATATAACTTACTCCATACCTGGTCCTATAGTTTTATATCTATATAATAAGCCCACAAATGGTAGGATAGTTTTTATCTGTATACTTACTCTACAAATGGTCCGATAGTTTTATATCTGTATACTTACTCCACACATGGTCCTATAGTTTTATATCTGTAAACTTACCCCACACCTGGTCACATATTTTTATTTTGTATACTCACTCCTCTCCTGGTCATATAGTTTTATATTTGTATACTTACTTCACATCTGGTCACACACATTGTAGTTCTATATTTGTATATTTACCCCACACCTGGTCATATAGTTTTATATTTGCATACTTACTCGACATCTGGTCCTATAGATTTATATTTGTATACTTACTTCACACATGGTCCTATAGTTTTATATTTGTATAATCACTCCTCTCCTGGTCCTATAGTTTTATTTCTGTATACTTACCCCACATTTGGTCACGTAGTTTTATATTTGTATAATTACCCCACACCTGGTCACGTAGTTTTATATTTGTATACTCACTCCTCTCCTGGTCTTATAGTTTTATTTCTGTTTACTTACCCCACATTTGGTCACGTAGTTTTATATTTGTATACTTACCCCACACCTGGTCACGTAGTTTTATATTTGTATACTCACTCCTCTCCTGGTCTTATAGTTTTATTTCTGTTTACTTACCCCACATTTGGTCACGTAGTTTTATATTTGTATACTTACCCCACACCTGGTCACGTAGTTTTATATTTGTATACTCACTCCTCTCCTGGTCTTATAGTTTTATTTCTGTTTACTTACCCCACATTTGGTCACGTAGTTTTATATTTGTATACTTACCCCACACCTGGTCACGTAGTTTTATATTTGTATACTCACTCCTCTCCTGGTCTTATAGTTTTATTTCTGTTTACTTACCCCACATTTGGTCACGTAGTTTTATATTTGTATACTTACCCCACACCTGGTCACGTAGTTTTATATTTGTATACTCACTCCTCTCCTGGTCTTATAGTTTTATTTCTGTTTACTTACCCCACATTTGGTCACGTAGTTTTATATTTGTATACTTACCCCACACCTGGTCACGTAGTTTTATATTTGTATACTCACTCCCCACCTGGTCACATAGTATTATATGTGTATACTTCCTACACACCTGGTCCTATAGTCCGAATTATTCTGACGTGTTATCGATTATGAAACATATCGGTCTTTCGTCGATTAACGTCAGAACTCCGGCCCTCTATAATATGCGGGAAATGTGCGACCCGCGCCCGGAGCGCACTTCCAACTGATAGTTTAGAAACAAATCGTCACTTTCGCACACACGTCGCACATGGATCGAAAGATCTATTCTTTATGTGTGAAAGTGACGATTTGTTTCTAAAATATCAGTTGGAAGTGCGCTCCGGGCGCTGGCCGCATATTTCCCGCATATTATAGAGGGCCGGAGTTCTGACGTTAATCGACGACAAACCGATATGAAAAAAGTCGATAAAACGTCAGAATAATTCGGAATACTGGTCCTATAGTTTTGTATGTGTGTACTTATTCAACACCCGGTCACATAGTATTATATGTGTATACTTACTCCTCACCCGGTCACATAGTTTTATACCTGTATACTTACCCCACACCTGGTCCTATAGTTTTATATTTGTATACTTACTCCTCGCCTGGTCCTATAGATTTATATCTATATAACTTACTCCACATCTTGTCCTATAGTTTGTATATCTGTATACTTACCCCACACCAGGTACTATAGATTTAATAATATATCTGTATACTTACTCCATATCTGGTACTATAGATTTATATCTATATATTTACCCCACACCTGATCACGTAGTTTTAAATTTGAATATTCATTTCTCTCCTGGTCCTATAGTTTTATATCTGTATACTTACCCCACACCTGGTCCTAAAGTTGTATTCCTGTATACTTACCCCATACCAGGTCCTATAGTTTGTATATCTATATAACTTACTCCGCACCTTGTCCTATAGATTTATATCGGTATACTTACTCCACACCTGGTCCTATGGTGATATATTTGTATACTTACTGCTCGAATGGTTCTATAGTTTTATATTTGTATATTTACCCCACACCTGGTCACATAGTTTTATATTTGTATACTTACTCCACATCTGACGCTATGGTTTTATACCTGTATACTTACTACACACCTGGTCCCATAGTTTTATATCTGTGTACATACCCCACACTTGGTCCTATAGTTTTATATCCGTATGCCTGGTCACATGGTATTATATGTGTATACTTACTACACACCTGGTCCTATAGTTTTATATTTGTATACTTACTCCACACCTGGTCCTATAGTTTTGTGTTTGTATACTTACTCCACACCTGGTCCTATAGTTTTATATTTGTATACTTACGCCACACCTGGTCCTATGGTGATATATTTGTATACTTACTCCACACCTGGTCCTATAGATTGATTTATGTATACAGTGTACTTACTCCACACCTGGTCCCATAGTTTTATATATATATACAGTGTACTTATTCCACACCTGGTCCTTTGGTGATATATTTGTGTAATTACTCCACACCTCGTCCATGTGATATATATGTATAAAGTGTACTTACTCCATACCTGGTCCTATAGTTTTCTATATGTATACAGTGCACTTACTCCTCACCTACTCCTATGGTGATATATATGTATACTTACTCCACACCTAGTCCTATAGTTTTATTTATGTATGCAGTGTACTTTCTCCATACCTGGTCCTATAGATCGATTTATGTATACAGTGTACTGACTCCACACCTGGTCTTATAGTTTGATTTATGCATACAGTGTACTTACGCCACACCTGGTCCTACAGTTTTATATTTGTAAACTTACTCCATACCTGGTCCTATAGATTTATATATGTATACGGTATATTTACTCCACCCCTGGGCCTATGGTGATATATCTGTATACTTACTCCATACCTGGTCCTATAGATTTATATATGTATACGGTATATTTACTCCACACCTGGGCACATAGTTTTATATATATATACAGTGTACTTATTCCACACCTGGTCCTCTGGTGATATATTTGTGTAATTACTCCACACCTGGATAGATTGATTTATGTATACTTACTCCACTCCTGGTCCTATGGTGATATATCTGTATACTTACTCCACATCTGGTCCTATAGTTTGTATATCTATATAACTTACTCCGCACCTGGTCCTATGGCGATATATTTGTATACGTACTCCACACCTGGTCCCATAGTTTTATATATGCATACAGTGTACTTACGCCACACCTGGTCACATAGTTTTAGATATGGATACAGTGGACTTACTCCACACCTAGTCCTATAGTTTTATCTATGTATGCAGTGTACTTACTCCGCACCTGGTCCTATAGTCTGATTTATGTATACAGTGTACTGACTCCACACCTGGTCGGTCCTATAGTTTTATATCTGTATACTTACTCCATACCTGGTCCTATAGTCTGATTTATGTATACAATGTACTTACTCCACACCTAGTCCTATAGTTTTATATTTGTAAACTTACTCCATACCTGGTCCTATAGATTGTTTTATGTATACAGTGTACATACTCCACACCTGGTACTATAGTTTTATATATGTATACAGTGTACTTACTCCACACCTGGTCCTATAGTTTAATATCCGTATACTTACTCCACACCTGGTCCTATGGTGATATATTTGTATACTTACTCCACACCTGGTCCTATGGTGATATATTTGTGTACTTACTCCACACCTGGTCCTATAGTTTTATATATGTATACAGTATACTTACTCCACACCTGGTCCTATAGTTTGATTTATGTATACAGTGTACTTACGCCACACCTGGTCCTATGGTGATATATTTGTGTACTTACTCCACACCTGGTCCTATGGTGATATATATGTATACTTACTCCACACCCGATCCTATAGTTTTATATATGTATACAGTGTACTTACGCCACACCTGGTCACATAGTTTTATATATGTATACAGTATATTTACTCCACACCTGGTCACATAGTTTTATATATGTATACAGTGTTCTTACTCCACACCTGGTCACATAGTTTTATATATGTAAACAGTATACTTACTCCACACCTGGTCACATAGTTTTATATATGTATACAGTGTACTTACTGCACACCTGGTCACATAGTTTTATATATGTAAACAGCATACTTACTCCACACCTGGTCACATAGTTTTATATATGTATACAGTGTACTTACTCCACACCTGGTCCTATAGATTCATATATTTATACTTACTCCACAAATGGTCCTTTAGTTTTATATCCGTATACTTACTCCACACCTGGTCTTTTAGTTTTTTTTTATCTGAATACTTACTCCTCTCCTGGTCATATAATTTTTTATCTGTGTACTTAACCCACATCTGGTCCTATAGTTTAATATCTGTATACTTACTCCTCATCTGGTGCTATATTTTCTTATCTGTATAATTACTCCACACCTCGTCCATGTAACACATAAAAAGTCGTAAAATTGGCGATAAAATCTGACGTTGCAGGCTTTATAACGTCATAATTAAGCTGATTCCAATGGGGTCGAACTTACCCGAATGCATGTCCGAACTTATCCCATTGCGGGCTCCTTCGGCCATCCGATCATCCGACAGGGAAAATTAAATAATGTTCAAAAACGGACGTGCTACCATACTTCCCAGAACGGACTTAAATAAAAATGGGCCGAATTTGCACCGATCTCCCCTATTGTTATGTCGGTCTTAATCTCATTATAGTTAAGGTTTTATTGTTATCCTTCGACTAGCCGACTTTAAATAAATTTTATCTTGCCTCATTCTGAAAGAAGTATCAAAATTATCTCATTCTAAATCAGTAGATATCAGAGATCAACAAAAGCTTCGCTCTTTTAAGGCTTTGCCTTTTCATATTATATCAAACACCGGTAAGACGTTTTTGTAGTATTGTCGGTGAATTATTGCGAAGAGGACACTTGCGGACGCAGAAATTCATCACGCATGTCACATTAGATGTTTGTCTAAGCCTAATAGTAATATTCTATTCTACCGGCAAATCAACATTCGTTTGTAGATTACATGTACAGTAGCTACATTTTGTATTAACAGAAATACACATGCATGTTCTAATAAAACTTGCTTGGCTAGTTTTCAGTCCAAAAGTTAAATTTCATTACCGGTAACTAAATATCCATGCAATCCGGCTGTACGTCACAAGTAATTGTAACTGTTGGCCTATGTGGCATACTGTACAAGGTGCCGTTCTCGCTACGTGTACACACCAAAGATAGCTGTAAATCTTACCTGTCAACATAACTAATTAGTGGTCTATCTTCCTGTCGTTCTTGTGATGAAATGGCTTAATATGTGTTATGATGTCGGTTACGGAATGATGTAAATAAACGTTCATAAACCAACACAGAGCTAATGTCGTACGAATAGTTCAAAAAGGAGCCACTGACGTCAAAAACACATAAATATATGCAGTTAACCCTGTTTTGCAATCAAATCTTTCCGTAAGTTACAATACCATTAATCATTTTAAAACTATAAACTCAATTTAAATAAGCGAGGATGGTATGATGAGCAGACGACGATGGGGAGGGGTTGCTAAGGAAATCCGTCTTGGATCCAAGATGGCGCCTTAGCAACCCCATAAACCTACGACAACCCCCCCCCCTNGTGACGTTGTGACGTCATCAATTTTCGCGTTACCGACAGAATTATCTCCCCCTGTTTTCAATAGGTGTGTGTATTGCGTGTGACGTCATCAATTTGGCATTTACCGACGGAATTAGCTCCCCTTGTTTCTAAATTGTTTACCTTCTGATTTTAGATATTCTCTCCAGGACTCTCTTTCTCTTTCTCTCTCTCGGTCAATTTTCGACGGAATTTTCTCCACCTTGTTTTAATAGGGTGCGTGTGTTGCGTGTGACGTCATCAATTTTGTGTTACATTTGTAACGACGGAATTAACTCCCCTGTTTCAGCATTTTGCTTCTTATTTCAGGTATTCTCTCCAGGACTCTCTCGCCGCTGTTTCGTTATTTTTTCCTCTTTTATTTTATTTTCTCCTCTTTTTCTCCACTTATTTTAATCATGTATTTTCATTTTCCTTAATAATCTTATGCATAACACCTATTTACAAACAATAAATAGTTACAACATAAGTTATTTACAATATAACATTCACAGCATATTAACCATGTTTTCGAGTGTGAAATTAAAGTGAGATGACCGTTTTTCGTGTAGGAAGCGTGTGTGTTGGTGCTCTGGAAGGTGTTGTAGCAGGTGGTGTTGCGTCCTTGTTTGGACTGAAAAGTACTTTTATTTTAATGCAATACTACGTCACTCTTACAACACATGGCGTAGTATTGTAAAACAGTAAGTATAAAATGGAAATTGATTTGAATGCTTTAAAAAAAAATATGTCTTATACATTAATTTAGTGTTGTTTTGTCATTCATTCAAGATTCAGGAAGCTTTATTTAACGCCCCATATACATGTAACATAATAACATTAGCACTGTAGTGCTGTTCTTGCGACAAAACAAATATAAAATTTAACAAGGATCACAGTACTTATGAATAAATATAAAAACAGGACAACAATTCCAATTAGATATGCTAAAATTATACAGTTGAGCATATGATATCACACTTGAATGTCACACAAGTGTTACAAAAGACAAGTTACGACACTATACTAGTGTAATGTACAGATATGCTAATGCAGCAAAGTGTTAAAAATTACAGGATATACACTAATATAGTGTGAATTAAAAAAAGACAATGAAGTCATAAATAGAAACAGAGCTATAATTATGATTTTGTAAAACAGTAATGATCTTTTAAATAATGGAGCTCAAATCTAAAATAAATAACAATTATATAATAAGTATATAACTGAAGTATATTAAATTAAATAACACAAACAGCAGTGAAATTAAATAGTTGTAGTATAAAACATGAAGGTAGATTCCAAAGGGGGACAACTCACACTATATGGTGTGTGCAGATAGCACATGAGCAGACATTATTGTTCAAGGTGCGGAGCAGCCCACGAGACGACTTACAGTTTTCAGCTAATCGAAGTTCATTTGGTAGGCTGTTCGACACCCGGGAAGTAGCAAATCGGAAAGATCTCTTACCATATGTGAAGGTGTTCACCTTTGGAATCTTTACCAGGTTATCTTGTCTCAGGTTTGAAAAAAAACTTCTTTCCTCTCAACAAGATATTGTAAAATTGATGGAGAAATTTCATTTAAAATTTTAAAAACCTCAGACGCCATATCTTTCATACGTTTTACATGTAAAAAATCAAGTTTGTGTTTTCTAAGAATATCAATGACTTGGGAAACATAATCATTTTCAATAAAACGAAGTGCTCGTTTCTGAACTTTTCCATTTTTCGAGTATTTGTCAATGTACAAAAGTGCCAGGCAAGTGGACAATAGTTAAAATTTGATAGAATAAAAGACTTAAAAATGGTTTAAAACAGCAAGTTGTTTAGCAGCATTTCTGCAAAGTCGAGATATATGTACATCAAGTTTAAGAAGAAAGTCAATATCCACACCTAACAGTTTCACATTGTCTTCACATATAATCTCAAGGCTTTCTATATTAAAAAATTTGATAGTGTTACTATTCTTTTTGCCAAAACATATTGCCTGAAATTTCTCTGGATTGGCCTTCATACCATTAAAATCAAACCATTCTATAAGAACTTTGCTCTATTTTTCTAAACAATCTTTTAAATATATATACTGAACACGCAGTGCATGTCCTCCATGCTGACCTTAAGAAAAAGAATCTAGACGATGCCTTCGAAAGCTACAATGATGTTCTGTTGTATTCAAACCTGGCTAAATTTTACACGGAGGCTCGCATACAAAAATCAGAACTTTAGTTTTGTTTTGTTTTATTTTATTGTGGAACCATATAATAAAACAGTTATGGGCTTTTGCGCTGGTAAATATGATGTGATATCAACCTGAACAAGTGATATTGACCTCGCCTTCGCCTCGGTTAACATTATTCTTTCAGGTTCATATAAAGGTGTTGCCCAAAATGTTTAAAGGGGCTGGTCGGGGAAAACAAAAACAAAATAAATGGGTCTAAATGCGTTCTCTGGCTTTCCAAAAGTTATACCACGGCAATATGATGGTCGATTTCTGCTTGCAATGTCCAGTTTTGACCACTGAAATCTCGGGGAAGCCCCGCGTAAATTTAGCGCAGATCTATTTATATATGTCACGTGGTTGTTTCGAAAGTGAGGCAGTGAAGATAGCCATGTCGGACTCAACTAGCGGACAAGACAGCAATACTATACGTAAATAATTGTTTTCAAAGGTCATGTATGATGCAAGTGTAGTATTCCTAACTATATGTTGTTGTTGTATATAACGGTATTGATACCTCGTGCCTGTCATAACTTTTGCATGCATCTTTTTCTTTCGCCGTGATGTTTACATTTGGCCTTGTTGATGACGCGCATGCGGTAAAATCACATCACTGATTTGGGTCAATTGAGAGTTTTAGACTGTCAGGTGACGATTTAGGATTTCTTTAATATGATTATAATTGTTACTCTTAGGGAGTGAATTTCAGCAAAATTTGAATCGGTATATTTCATAAGAAGGTATTTTAAACATGTGTATGCCATTTTAGCAAATATGACATTTTTTCCCCGACCAGCCCCTTTAACTCAGAAAAAGACAGATTTTTGCCCTTATCTAGAACTTTTAAATAAGTATTGTCTTGTCAGTTCTATCAACCAAATACTATATAGAACTTCCCTTTTCTGAGATTTGGACATTTATAATTTATCCGCCGAGCGGAGCGAGTTAAAAAAAAAAAAATCTGATGATGTAATTCTAAACTATTTTAAGCTCTGCCGAGCGTAGAAAGCAAGAATTTTTCGGACATTATTTCCATTGACAAATATTTCTGAGTTTGCGGTATTATTCAAGGTTATATTTTATAACGTAGAGTATTTATATTTCATGATGGCCGAGCGGAGCGAGTGTTAGCAAATTCTGTAAAAACAAATGGTCAAAATGTAGATTTTTGGATTTTGGTTGAACTATTGATGTTTGTGTCAGGCCCTTAAAATGGTCACTTGTCAAAGTTTGGGGGGAGGGGCCTTTCTGAAGATTCACCTTATAATGCGCGTGAATCTATATGTACATGCAGTTTAGGCCAGCATTTTGGCAATTAAATCTTAATTTATTTTGTCATAAATATGAATTATGATTGAACTGTTTATCTTTTATTGTGAAAAAGTATGCATACCGTACGTATGTACAAGAGCAATACCTTAAGAAAAGGATGTACATGCCAGGCTTTGATGCCAGCATTGGTCATTACCAACCTGATAAAGTGATGCTAAGGAGGGTGCTACATTGTCTTTGACATTTTTGAAATTCATATGTTTAATTGGTATAATAAATCACTCCTGGTGACCATGTGTACTTTAAACCACAGGTTAAAATACAGGTATATCGATCTATCATGAAATAGACTCTACCTTTGAAATAACACTTTACCTATATACCTAATTTTAATACTTGGTATAGTCCTCTCCCAACTGACAGGGTGATCACCACACCGTGATATTAGAACAATAAGATTAGGTAAAGTCAGTACGTTGAACTTAATATCTATTATTATTTTATTAACCTCAAGTCAACTGACTCATGGGTTTAATACATATATTACAAAATAAGTACAACATGTTATGCAATACAATACAGAATAACATATGGACATATGTTAAGAGGAGAGTGACTCTTTACGTACACTTGTTGCCGAATGTAAATATTTTTCAAGATTAAAAAGTTCCCTTACATTATTGGTACTTAATAGTTGAGTTAGCTTAAACACACCCGGACTTCAACTTCATAAAATGGACATTTGAGAACAAAATGAAACTCATCTTCAATGTCGCCTAGATTACATCTAGTACACAGTCGATTATGACGGTTTATATTATTCCGCCTCCCGACCTCAATATTTAAACTGTGAGAGGACAGTCTATAGCGAGTAATTTGACTCTTGAATTTTGATTTGATTGGCTTACACAAATAAAACTGTAAGTCGACATTGTCTATCAGGTGTTGATATAAATACCCCTTTGAAGAATTTGAAATATTTGTTAACATACTTTGTCGTGAAACATCGAGCAATCTTTGTTCTATAATCTTTGCCGCAATATTAATAGATAAGTTTTCCTCAAAGATATAC